AGTTTTAAGTTCTTAATTCTACGAGGCAATATTTTTAAAAATCCTGAATTTCCCTTAGTGTGACCCATGTAACACATTTCCTTTTAGCATGTCATCTTCCCTATTTTATCCACCACTCCTTGAAAATGTACAAAATTAAACGTAAATAACTCTCTATAAAATCCTCATTGTTCAGACAAACCATAATTTTTATAGTCTTGAATTTTCTTTGGTTGCAGAGCTATCGAATAGAAAATCAGACCCCTCTTGCCACACCTACCTGTCACATCCTCTCTTTCAGAATTCGTTAATAGTTCTCTCTTGCATTTAATTATATATCATCTATAACCAATAGAAAGTCAAGGTTTTCATTTATCAAATGGATTATTATATAATGTTATGTTCTGAATGGTTAAATGTCAATTTCACTCAGAGTACAAACACCATTCTCGTGAGAAAGTTAACGACTAGCTTGGATGAATTTGTAACGACTTGCTACATAGTTAGAAAGCCAGAAATATTTTGAGAGATAAGGGAACTTGTCTACTTATTGCATGTTATTAATCTATATTCTTTGGTTCATTATATAATTAAGTAAAAATTATTAAGTGCATTACTGTCATTAGTATAAAAAATTAGAGTCAGCTCACTTTGACAACCGAAAGCAAGAAAAAAGAAGATTGGTTAAGTATTTTATTTCTTGTTTTTCATGTTTGTTCTTTACTTATAATTATAAAAGTAACTACAATGTAAAAATTAGGGATCCTTTTAGGTTAGTTAAGATTAGATTAGATAAAATAAATAATAATAATATTATAATAAAAAGTTTTCAAGAGGCACACATGCGAACAGCTCTTAGTAGCTCACGGGTAATATAATTTGTTAGTGTAACATGTTCACCAAGTGATTTACAACTTATAATAGTGTGGATAGTAGTTAACCACGGTTCAAAGGGCAATAAAACAATAAAATTGAATGATAAATAAATGTATACTGTTATGAACTTAGAGCTACTTAGGATAAACGAATGTAATTTCATGTTACAATTTGAAGTTGATCTAAAATGAAAAAAAGATAATTATAGATTTATTTGTTTTTAGTGGTTATGAGGTTGGTTGGATTGACCAATTCTGGTTTGAGATAATGAAAATAACAGATAAACTATAAAGTTTTACTGAAAAAAAAAGTTTGAAATGCGTTTAGGAGGTTTTAAGGATTGCACAAAGGAAATTTGAGATTTTTGAGATGAAGAAAAGTATTTTTAATTTTAACATGAAAATTTCTTTGCACATGGACTGTTCAAAACAAATACTCAATATATTCATGGACAAATCTATATTTTATTTTATTAAAAATACTTCACAAAAAATATGATTTTTTGTATGTGAAAGACTTGTAATATTAACTGAAAGACTGCCAAATTTTGTGAAGATATACACACTGTATTGAAAGTTAGAAGTTATTTAATCTATATAGACTTTAAACAAGTACAAAGAGGTTACGTGGTCGGTCAAATTGACCGAGCCTGTGTTGAGTTAAATCACAATTTCATGTAGCTTCTCCAAGAAAATTCAACAATGTCTAGTTTATTGAATGTCTAATTCATGATTGGAGGAAAAGCCTGTGCACATTTTCTTACCTAAACTAGCTATTACTAAATCAGTGTAGATTGATGGATCTTTACAGTAGTTGTATGTTATTTTCACTGGACTTGACCAAAAAACTACCTATTCTACACATATGACAGCTCTTCTATTTAGTGATAGATAAGTCAGGTAAATTTGAAATGTATCATCACTGTAACACAAAGTTCGAATGAAAAGCACAGATAGCTGTTTTTTTTGGTCACATGTGTAATTATTTGTTATTTATCCAGGTAGTTAGCTATAAAAGATCTAGTAGACATCCTGCATTTTGTTTACTTAATGTTGCAACTTGTAATAAAAGTAAAAAAAAAAACATAAATCACAGCAAAATCTTTCATAAGTTCATATAGTAGTAGAAGTAATGGCATTGCATTGTAAAACTCTTTGGAAATTAATCAAAAATAACATATTTAGAATTAAGAAACATGAATGCCAAAAGCGTATAACTAAATAACACACAGATTAGTCTACATTTCTGATACGATATCTTACCTCTGCTCACAAAATACTTTTTTCAATTAACACTACCCTCTATTGTTGCAAATTTTAAATGCACGCCACTAATGTTCCACCTCCAGCTTCTTCATATCCACATGCAAATGATCATATAGTAGCTCTCCACCAATAGGAGCATGACACCACTCCTATCACAACTAGCACTTTTTTCACATCTACACTCATTAATTACTTCTCGATTGGCAGTAGTACTATACAGATGTGCTGGTTTTTTCTTGTGGATTTCTCAATGTTATATTACTGACGTAGCGTTTCTTTACTATTTATTTAAATTTTTATGTTTGGTATTGTGAAAGGAGCCTTTTGCTGTTGTATTGTAGATCCCATTCTGTGGCAATGGTGCCTGACCAGGTATACTTTTTTTTTTTTTAAATCCTCGCTGTCCATCCTGTGACCATGCTCAATGTCAATTACATTGTAGTACTTCGTACCACAGACCTGATGTACAATTCCAGATGCCACCAGATGCTGGTTGTGTGTGTCTCCATTTGATTGTTAACTGTGACTAAACAATTACATTGTAGTACTTCGTACCACAGACCTGATGTACAATTCCAGATGCCACCAGATGTTGGTTGTGTGTGTCTCCATTTGATTGTTAACTATGACTAAACAATTACATTGTAGTACTTCCTACCACAGACCTGATGTACAATTCCAGATGCCACCTGATGTTGGTTGTGTGTGTCTCCATTTGATTGTTAACTGTGACTAAACAATTACATTGTAGTACTTCCTACCACAGACCTGATGTACAATTCCAGATGTTGGTTGTGGGTATCTCCATTTGATTGTTAACTGTGACTAAACAATTACATTGCAGGTTTGAGTTATGCACACCATAGTGATGGAGTGTTCCGTAGGACTGGTAGTGATTCTTTCTACTGGTTTTTTGCTTCATAAATAAGTTCATCCTGGACTGTACACTCATGGACTAACATGAGTAAAGCAGACAGAGATTGCTGCCCATCTCTGATGCTCCATAGCATTGAGACTCTTCCTACCATGGACCTGATGTACAATTCCAGATGCCACCAGATGTTGGTTGTGGGTATCTCCATTTGATTGTTAACTGTGACTAAACAATTACATTGCAGGTTTGAGTTATGCACACCATAGTGATGGAGTGTTCCGTAGGACTGGTAGTGATTCTTTCTACTGGTTTTTTGCTTCATAAATAAGTTCATCCTGGACTGTACACTCATGGACTAACATGAGTAAAGCAGACAGAGATTGCTGCCCATCTCTGATGCACCATAGCATTGAGACTCTTCCTACCATGGACCTGATGTACAATTCCAGATCCTGCCAAGTTTTGGTTGATCTACTCTGTCGATGTGGTAGCTCTGCTTTTCAAAATAAGGTATTGCAGTCACCCAATGCACTGACTCTGGTGATGTGGCTCTCTGGACTCTCTGACACTTTTTTTTTCTTCCTTTCTTCAAGTGAAGTATGAGGGTCTTTATCACTTACCAATTCCTAGCTGCTGGAGTGGTGGACCATGGAGGCCTGTCTTCCTGAATGATGAATCATGCCATTCAGTTGAGAGTAGGGCAGTGGCATTCTGCAGGTGGCACTAGCATATCACACTTCGTACTGCGGACCTGATATACAATTCCAGATGCCATCATGCTTTGGTTGTAGCACTATGCCGTATTCTTGTCTATATATATGACCAATTGTTTTTTCCTACTGTAGCATTCCTCATTCCTACCATCCTCCAGATGTACATTTCAAGCGGGTCTGGTTTTGGTTGGAGATGGCCCAGTTGTGATTAGTATTATGTATAGATGGCATGACGCCCTTCCTACCACAGATCTGATGTACAATTCCAGATGCTGTCAGGTTTTGGTTGAAACACTCCACCATGTTACAAATATATACATATCTATTATTGCAGTTTGCCCCTCAGGCTTAGATGTTTCTCCTCCCTACCATCTTCCGAATTTTCATTCTCGGTGGGTCCAGTGTTGGTTGGAGATGGTCCAACTAAGTATGTCCTCACACGTGTGCTGGCCGGTATCCTTACTTCTACTTCAGACTGCATGACAAATGCCCACCACTGCCAGGTTTTGGACTGGAGATGCACCCCTAACTTTGTGATCCCTCTTCCTACCATCTGCTGGATGTCTGTTCTTGGTGGATCCGTTGTTGGTTTTGGCTCGATACAGTACATATTTTCCTGCTTGTGTACAGCTGGAAATCCTTCTCCTACTGCAGACCAAAAGTACCATACCCATTGCTGTCAGGTTTTGAATCGGAGATGTCGTCCCACTGGGGCTTTCTACCTTCCTGCCATCTGCTAGATGTCGATTCCCTACACTGAAAATGTATTTTCAATAGATACTTACCTCCAGTCACATTTCCCACCCAGTCTCCCCACTTCTGATGATATGTAGTGTAGGTCTTCTCACCGATCTTGAAGTGATTAACAAGTGCAGATATGAAGAGGGTGCTGGTTATGATAGAAGCGGTGTCGAGCTCCTATTGGTGGAGAGCAGTTGTATGATCAATTCCATGTGGATATGCAGAAGCGGAAATGGAAGGCTAGTGGCATGCATTGAAAATTTGTGCCAATAGAGGGCATTGCTAGTTGAGAAAAGCTATTTTGTGAGAGGAGAAAATTATCTGTCTCAAATACGTTTTCAGTGTAGGAAAATGCTAACTTTCATAAAACCTCAAATTTCCAAATCCTAATAACTATAAATAAAAACTTTTTCACACATTATTATACCAAATTCTGTTTTGAATAGTGAAAAAGTCTTTTCATCCATATGGTATTTTGATAACTAAAGAATTACATTTAACTAAGTATTAAGTGTATACAGCAGGCATAAATTTATCCATTTTCTGCTAATAAACAAGTGTTTTACCGTAAGCACCAAGGTCACTAACAGGGAATTCATTATCACATGCTACTCCAATCATGGGAATAATAGACTTGTTTCAGAACAAAGTTGTAAACTAAACTAGCATCTTTATACAGTTGGTAGAACTTTCCATTTTTATTCTTAAAGCTCTTTTAATTCTCTTGGGTCTCTAGTGTTATTTTTTTTTGTAAGTTTTCATATTTCTACCATTCAATCTTTCATTGTGTGCTGTAACAGTGCTTAGTTTTGTTACTGGTGAGTGTGGGTAGTTTTACTGTATTCTTCTGTGGAGGTCCTGGTGAGTGTGAGTAGGATTCCTGTAGAGTTCTTTGAAGGTACTGGTGAGTGTGGGTAGATTTTCTCTAGACTTCTGCAGAGGTACTGGTGAGTGTGAGTAGGATTCCTGTAGAGTTCTTTGAAGGTACTGGTGAGTGTGGGTAGATTTTCTATGAATAAGTGTTCATTATCAGTGAACTTGAAAATCAGTAAAATGTAGCTTGTGGTTTTCTTCAGTCTATACCTTGAATTGGATGTTGATGTTTTGTTTGTGAAGGAGTCATAGGAAATTGTTATAGCGATCTGTTTGTCTAGCCAAATGATGAAAGTATTGTCAGCATTTCCAGATTTTGAGTTTTAGTTTTGCTGATTCTGTGGATTTTGTTTCGAATTCTGACATAAAGAGATTGCTGACAGTAGGTGACAAGTAGAAAGCGTTTCTCATTTCAACTTTTCTTTGGCTTGTTAGATTTTACATTTGCTGGTGAAGAATTAAGCATCTTAAGATACTGGTCAGAAAAACTTAGCATAAGATATAACTGCAAAAGTAATCAAAGATTTCATCTCTATTCAACTGAGACCAGAGCCAAAAGATCAGTGGTATTTAGATATTCCTTCTCTGCTCATGACACAAGAGTAGTAATGTTATCACAAAACATACCTCTGTTCTCTTCAAACGCTGGTGTTATGTCACATTGAAACACAGGTGTGCAAGAAGTGTAGAATACTTACCTGTAACGTAGAAGCTATTGTGTTCTAAAGAATATCTTAGTGCAAAACCATGTAGTGTCTGTGGTGTTCCTATCAAACAAAACCCATTAGTGAATGTTGATTCTAATAACCAAAAATTATCAGATTTTAGCCCTACTGCCCTATCACGGCAGAATCTGGTTCTGAAATAGACATAAATATTTGTTAAAAAGGTAATTCTGGTGTATTCATATTACTTACTGTAATGATATATGTTCTCCTTTAAATAAAAGGAAGGTAGTAATTTATTGATGTATTTTGAAAATTAATTTTAATCTTTTGTCTTCTCTGAAGACGCTCCATGTTTAAATTGATGTTGATTTTGCGAGGTTACGATGTAACTGTGAAAGGTGTAGTTATTGAGAGTTGTGTGTATGAGAAAGGAAGTAGAAATACCGTGTGATTAATGTGGACACAAAGTAAACTCTTGACATTCCAGATGAGTTTTCTTTATTTAGTTGCAGCCACAGTGTATGTAAGGTACAAGCAGGTTGAACAGTATTATCGCGACCATCTTTCAAATGAATCAAGACTGGTGCTTCGGCTCAACGTGGTAGGATTGTGGTTAGGGTGTACTGCTGCATTTGGAGTGAGTCTGGTAGCAAATTTCCAAGTAAGTACAGTTAATATTCTTAATATGAAAATGATTTGCTTGTAGAACGTGTAACTAAGATACCGTGTTTTACCAAGTAGATTTTCAACTGATGACTGTTGAAAAGAACTCTCTTAAAGTAGTTACCATATTCGTAACTCAATGTGAACACATAATTCTGAGAACTTAGAATAGAAAGCCTAGAAGGATTTGTTATAATGTCAATCACACTACATTTATCATATCCACTTTCAACAAAGTTTTCATCCAATACTAGGGCTTTTCAGGCCACCTCAATGTTTATGATCTGGCAAACAAAGATTTCTCCACTGCTCTAGTGGCAAGACCTTTCTCCTATTTAATTCAGCTCTCATCTATACCTCTGAGACTTGAGATGCTCGAATTTCCACTATCATCTCATTATACCATTATGTTGCTGTCACCTACTGTTATGTTTGTGACATAATTAGTCCCTGTTACTTTTTCACGTCACGTGCTGCTATACTTATGACATAGCCAGTCCCTGTTACTTTTTCACGTCACTTGCTGCTATACTTATGACATAGCCAGTCCTTGTTACTTTTTCATGTCACCTGCTGATTGTTACTTCCAGTAGGTCCTTCCTTTAATGAGTTTTGTTAAACCATTTGTAATGGTAAGACTTTTCTCCTACTTAAGTCAGCTTTCAGCTCCACCTGTAAGACTCAAGATGCTTTTATTCCCACTATCATCTCATTGTACCATAACGTTAATGTCACCTGCTGCTATGTTAGTGACATAGCCAAACCTTGTTTCTTTTTAATCCTATCGTATGGGTAGGGGTCAGAGGGCATGTCATCACATTTGTAGACTTACATTCAACATTTTATGAATGTCTGTCAATAATTTTGGTGTCAAATTGTAGATTATAATTCAAATTTTAAGAATATACATTAGTTAATTACATAATTTAAAAGTATATATTAAAATAATTTCCTAAATGTCAAATTTTGTGTGTCAGGTGGTATGCTGAATGCAGCTTTGATTCAAATTAGATTTTTGTGACGTCCAAATACAAAGTCTGTAGTTTCTTACAAAACAGAAACTCAAATTACTGATATTGACAAACTAGAATATAAAATAAAAACCTCCTATCTTTTCTATTTTCTGAGATATTATTATATTTAACGAATCAAACAAGTTGCTCCCGCCCACCTCTTCCATATTTGGAAATATTTGTTTACTTACACCTATTTCGATCTAAGACATGTTTATAACCAATTGAAAGCTCAGAATTTTCTCCACATGTGGTTTTCTCAGCCTTTCCAAAGTCTTTCTACAGGAAAATCCATCTTTTTTGTTGTAGTCTCGCAGAGAAGCAGTCAAACAAAATGGTGCTTGAAAAGCAATATTTTTTCAGACCCAAATACAGCTTAGTTAGTAAACCTGATGAATT